AACGCAAACGTAATTTGGTTTTGGAGGACGGGCCACGCTTGCCGCAAAATTCCTGCCGTGATCCCGTCTAGACCCGAGGCAGATTAGGTTAGGTGCACGGTTCAACCGGGTCGAATGTCGGACTAAGCCCAGGTAATGCCAACTCGAATCTACCTACATAAACGCCGGTCTATCTACGGATTTCCGCCTGTCCTGCGGTCTCCGTTGCGTCGCTATCCTCAGGGACCAGTTGCTCGAGAAGCCCCTCGCCGGTCTCCCTAAGCGAACACGTAAATGTTCCGTCCATTTTTCTGATGGACGCTGGTAATTTCTCCGAGGGTCGTGTTCCCCCGGCCTTTAGCCATTTATAGACGGGTCCCCAGGGCTCCTCGTTCCCGGTGCCGGTAACGAAGGAGCGCCAGGCCGTCTGCCGTGCTCTGAAGCAGGCGCGGTTATATCTCCGCTTGAGGTCGTGTACTTCCTCCTTATGGCTCTCTTTCTGAACGCGTTGCGTTCTGCGCGTAGTTTGCGCTTCCAGCGTCCCAATCGGGCGAGCTCGCTACCGAGGTCTGAGCTCCACCAGAGAGGCGGTTTCAGTTGTCCGACCACGGCCCGTTTCATGTGGGTATCACAAGCCGTTTGCTGCACTTCCGAGAGTGCGTTCACACAGGGGTCTACGACCGGGCAACCGAGCTCAGCTGACCGTGCTATCGCTAAACTTTTCAAGGTCTTACGGAATGATTTCCAATCGGTATTTTTCCATAAATATCGTTTCCATACGACATTACCCGTGGACGGAAAGACGTTCTGACTGCACGCAAATTTAAAGCTGATCACGTTATGATCGCTTGATGTCAATCCGGGTATGACCTTCCAGTCCGTCACCCTACGCTCCACCGAAGGCGACGCGAGTGTGACGTCTATGTTGGCTGACCCTCTATTCATGAAAGTTCTAGGTTGGTCCGGCTGATTCAGCACGGACAGGCCCTTTATACTTATCAATTCCACGATTACTTCGCCCCGGTCGTCCGAGACTTCATCATGCCACACCGTCGACCGCCCGTTAACATCCGCACAGACAAGCACGGCGCCGCGGATCTGGTCCAGGACGGACCTAAACGCGTCGGCGTGTGTCTGGGTGGGGTCAGAGAACTGGAAGTATGAAGATACTACCGTCAAGCTGACTTGTCTCACCGTAAGCGTGGCCGCGGCCAAATGGGGGGTACAGAGATGTCTAAGAGCGAGGACTCCTATGGCCGGGCTCGCGACAACGACGGCAGCCTTCGGCCATCGCCCCGCCGCGATTACCCTAAGAGGATGCCTGTCTAGCAGGTAGATCCCCTTACCATCGGTCGCAGGCTCTTGGATTAGCGCAACATCTATGGCTAACTCTACCAGTAGTTTGTCTATCTGCTGCGTGGCCGCCTTTCCTCGGCCCGCGTTAATTTGAATGAAATTTATCATTTTCTCCTCGGTCCTGCAGACCACCGCCGGGGAGGGGCACGTATCCAGCCCGGTGGCGCTTCCGGGGGGAACGTCTGCTCCCTGCACTTGCTCCGGCTTGTGATGGACGGGCGTGTGTACGAAGAGACCTTCCGGGTTACGCATATTATCGGCGACTACCACCTATAGCAATATTACACATTATATTACATATTAGCATATCTCGTAGCTCATGAATATTATATTATGATATATTTGTATTATTAGTATATCTCGTAGCCGTCAGAATAATAAAGGAAATTATATAAACCATTCAAAGGCATACGATTGTACTTGAAATTGGATGCAAAGTTGTCAAATTATTTATTAAACATAAACCAAGTTATATCATAATTATTTTTAATATCTAAATACAGATACAAGTACTATAATATAATAATAATAAAATTTAAAATACTAAACATAAAATTTAGTACTGTAACACAGTTGAAATACCAACACAACTGACAGTAAATACTAAATGGGTATAGTCATAAGTCACATCATGCATGATTATAGTATCTATAGGTATACTCATACAAATACAGTAATTTATTTATGGGTCATTATTTAACACTTACTTAACTTAATGATAATATAATAATTTTAATGTGTTATTAAAAGAGTAATGGGTATATCACATAATCTGAGGCAGTAAAATTTGAATAAGTCAATACACAATTTTTAATTTTAGCTATATCTATGATATAATGGTTATATGAATACACATTACATATATAAATATGTTATGTATTATAGTAAACAACATTAAAAAATATCAACAAAACAAATAACATTAATCTTCATTTTTCAGCAAATTTAAATTTTTCATGTTCAATTATTTTCAATTTTAGGTAGTTTTAAATAATCAGCTCCAAGGGCCCAACTTATATCAGAAATGATATCATAATTCTTCACCTAAAGTATGTAAGCATTTTATGAGTTTCAATTTTAAAATCATAAAAACATATTGAAGTAATATACAAACAGTAATTGAAGGATTGTCACCAAAATTAATTAGTTGACTCAATAATACATAAATATAGACCAAATCGAAACATTTGAATGGTTTACTATCGTCAAAAGTTTTTCTAAAACATTCTTTAAAAAAGTTATTCCTTTTATTTATTATTGATGCATTATGAATATCTGTAAATACATTAAGCTAATACTTTTAGTTATAAATAATAACAACTTACGTATAGCAGCATTTCTAATTTTTTTAATAGTTATGCCTTTCCCTCTATAAACTAAAGTATTACATTTTGTGAATGAGATTTAGAATAATAACATAAAAATATCAATACGATATGTGATAATATTATGTTTAAAATTACATACAAATTAAATTAGCTTCTTTTGCCTTTTCATGAAAAAAGGAATCGCCATAATTGGTTGTTTAATGGTTACTTTATTCACATTATTTGCAATTAAAGACAAAACTGCACTCCAACAATAATTGTAAATATCATCTTTAGGACTAGAACCACTGAAATGATTACATAACAATTAATTACATTGAAAATACACTAAAACATAAATGCATATAACCTATTTATATTTTATTTAAATACAATTAATGAATTTAGTTACAATAAACTTTACCCATTCTAAAAAAAAAACTTACATGATTTTGTAAGTATTAAAAATATGTGTATATGAAAAAATATTATTTGTTAAATGGCATGGAGAAGAATTTTTTTTGTTAATGTTATTAAATGTCAAAATTTTTATTCGCATTTCCATCAAACCTAAATCTAAATAACTAAAAAATGTATGATTAATTATGTTTAGTATAATATAATTAGAAGACATTCATTTAAATTACCTTTGATTATAAAAATGTCTCTCTATTCCCATAATTGTAAATTGTTTTACAAATTTTGCCTCATAGTTTTGTAGGTTTTCAGGTGGTAAATAAAAAATGATTTGTAAAGATGAATCACGTAGATCTAAAACAGCTATTGTATTATTAAAGTTCTTTAAGGTATCTAAAAATAAATACATTTTCATAATTTATTTATGAATTAAGTATTGTTTAATTATAGTATTTTTTTATATTTTTATATTTTACTGTTCATGAAATTAACTGATAACCAAGCATAAAGTCCTTCACGACTTTTATTCATTATAAGAACCGTATTTTCATTTATTTGATATTCATCTTTATATTGACTCAAAATTTAGGTTGCCTAAAAATAAATTATGATTGTGAACTTTGAGAGTTTTGAGAAAATTAATAAATAAATAAAAATACTTGATTGACTATTGTTTCGGATTTTGTATTAAACAGTCTTAAACCAGCGGTTAATGCGAATACAATAATTGGTGTATACTCATAATTATATTTATTTTTCAAAAATCGTTTAGCATAGTTTAATATATTATATACCGAATTAAATACCTGTAACAAACAGAATATAGTTGAAAAACAAATATCTAACATTAATTCAACTTAATTAATTATGTTTCTGTTTATTCAAATAATAACATAATATTTTTCTCACTTTTATTTCGTTATGGTACAATTCAACTAAAGTACTATCAAGTACTTTACCAGCTTGGTCTTGTAGTTCATAATAACCTTCAAATTTAAATAAATATTGTTATAAGCTAGTATGTAAATTATAAATAAGTTATTATCTTATTATCTGATATACGTGCTAGGCACTACAATACATGTCATGTCTAGAAAAAACAATAATGTTTTAATTTTTTAGTAAAATGTATTAATTTAAACCAATACATAACCATTAAATAATGTATTAAAGATTTTAAATATGTACTAGCTAAATTACCAGCATCATCCAGTTTATTCTACAATACAACTGATAAAGTGGCTTACATTTTCTATTTGTTAAAAACTGGCGCAAAACTAGTGTAATATTTTTGGAGTGTTAGACTATTGAATTAAGTAATTAAAAAAACATTTATATTTTTTAATTTTTGTTTACTACATTTCTATTAATTTTAACTACATGTAATCTGTGTTTAATAAAAGGTATTAAACATAATTTTATTTTTCCTTGAGCCAAAAAAAAAAAAAAAATACACATAATAGTAATCGTAGAGCAATAATATAGTAATGTTTAAATAATAAGCTTCACACATCTTATGAGCCTCAAAGGAATTATTAAACTACAAATTAAAATTTCACAACGACTTAATAACCTAATCATAATCGAATTATTGACGTCATATAAGCTTGATGATAAGTTTGATGGGGATATCCGCTACGCCGTTTTTAGTGTTTTCAAGTGTCAACAATGATTAATCCGTTCGAAAGCTCAATCATTGCTGAACTTCAAATTTATCATATCCAATGACTAATTGTGCATGTTAATAACAACCCCAGTCTCGGAGCGTATAGAATATAATCGATAGTGTTACGTACCGTGTTATTTCAACACATATATTATACGGAGAGGTGATGTGTATACCGATGGAATAACATATTCAAACAGTGTAGTATCGAACGGCTATGGCGAACACCTGCACATCGTGATATTTAATATAATGAATAAGACATGATCACACGTCCTGGACTTCTCAGAAATAATGAGTAAACGATAGTGTTAACATTGTACTATTTAATATGACAATTAAGACTTGATCACACGTCTTGTAATTCTTAGAACCGATGAAATCGCAGGAAAGGCACTCAACTGAATAATACATTTAATTTAGAGAGCTCCTTTAGGTCATCGGAAGTCGCCACCTCCACAGTCACCACTCTTGACGGTTAACCATATATATATAAGGGAGACCGGGGCAGAGCTCAACAGACGGTTAGGGATATTCGAGACGCTCAGAGGCAGGTCGTAACACCACTCACGGTCTCGTCTATCAGTATTTCAGAGGCAGGTCGTAACACCACTCACACCATCTTGTGCTTATAAAATTGTATTCTTGTACGAGTTAATTGTATTAAATAAAGACTTAATCTTTTAACTTGCAAACATTAGTATTTCTATTTCTACGTTGATATATGAATCGACGTTGACATAAGGGACGCAACAATAGAAATCATTTACAGATATTATTTTTTAATCATAACGTAATAACTAAAAAAAAAAATAATGATAAATTCTTAAAAATTTTTGATAATCTTTATATGTACAAATATATATGCATATATTTTTAGTTATATGCTGTATGCTGATATACCCATCAATTTTCCTTAGAAACAATTTATGAATACAATATTAATTATTTATATTTAACACTTTAAGTAGGTACATTAAACCTACTTTCTTCACTTGAATTTTTCCAGCAAGAAAACCAACTACGTTTCTTAGACTTTTTAACAAAAACTGTAACTAATAATTTAGTTCTAATACTATCTGCCTCAACAGTAACGTTACAATACAGTTTTGGACTTTCCGACTTTGATAATTCAGAATTTTCATGGTCGACAGTTTCTTTACATAATATAATTGACTGAGTTGAAAAGATAAAAAACTAACATTTTAATCAGTATAATTCATAAAAAAGTAAAGTTGATGAAACTTATACTTACAGTAGGTTACCATAAAATATATCACAGTAACGATAATCTTCATAAAATTTTTTTTTTGATTTATATCAGATTTTATAGTATAATTATAACTATTATACCCTGAAATATTCTGTAAACAAATAATTACAACTAATACAAGAAATTTTAAATGTATAAAATAACAACTAAAATTAAATTTAAGATATTGTACTAAAATACCAAACATTTTTTTCTTAATCACTTATGAGACATCTGATTTCAATTATGAAGACTCAAAAACGAAATGATCATTAGTAGGGTGTAAAGCCGCTCTCCTGGGATGCACTCACACCATTGAACAAACCTTTTATTAATATGGTGAAATATTTTTAAGACGTTAAATTAGATTTGCATAAATTATTATAATTTTTAACACTGAGTTAACGAAGTCTCACGCAGTTATTGAACACTTACGATAACAGTTATGTATTTGTTAATGTATTTTTAGGCGCTGTTAATATGTGTAATATTAAAAGATTTAAGGCGCACCAGCCAATGACTCTTATAAGCGATTCAATTGACAACAAGTGAATAATTTCAAAAATGTTTTCGTTTTAGATTAGATTTTCACCGTTTCGGTGATCAAAATTGCAGGTTGAATATTATGATTTTTAGTTTATAGCCTACAGATTACGTCGGATTTTTAAAAATGATCCAAGGATTAATGAGAAACAAAACAATTCTATAGATAACATATATATGGTTCTTAAAATTAATGATAATTTTGTTATCCACTTCAATAATGATCAAAAGTGTTGGTATGTTAAATAGTAAAAGTGAGTTGCAAGAGTTAGCTATTTACCCTATTCTGAGAATTCATTAAATTAACTTAAGATAAAATCACCTAATGAAGTTCTCAATTTGAAATTTTAAATATAAATTTTAATAAGTCTATTAAACCGGTCGATCTACTTGTATGCGAAAGGTCGTTCTTTACATACCTTTTTTGTGCGATTAGTCATGTTTCTCATGCGGATTGTCCACTAATTAAAATTTCAATAAAAATATGATATTGATACAATAAAAAGTTGATTGAAATGTATTGTTATTACGATGTAGCAAAAAAATAATTTCATAAATTATGATTAACTTTTTTTATTCTTCAGAAGAAAAAAACAACTGCAATACACCAGAATTACCTTTGATATAATGTCATAAAATAACTTGTGTCTAGTCCTACAGTGTTTTTACATTAATTCATATTAAGATAAACCAATATTTATATAATTTTAAAATTAATGTATTGACATTGTTGTTTTAAGTTATATTCACGTGCTGTTTAAACATTAAAAAAAATAAATGGCACTGAGGAAAATTAAAATATTTATTAAGCTCTACAATTAATCGAAAAAAAATTAGTACCCATACTTACTAAAAGTAGGTCACACATTTCACATGTTGATATGATACTTATTCGTTTACACTTTATTTTATTAGATTAAACATGATTTTGGTGATACATTTAATTTAACATCTGATTACTACAATAAATTGGTTTTCAACGAAATATTACTTAGTATTTTAATGTGTGCTGTTGCCTGTTCACCTGTAATCATTATTTAAACAACTGGCACCACGCTATTATTTAAGTAGTAACCTAAGTCATATAACACTCCAAACAAGTTAAATAGTAAGAACATGTAAAATTTGCGCTAAAAGCAAACAAAAGAAAAAAAAAAAAATGATAAAATATATCATTTGCGCCACATCTAATAATTTATTTTGATGATTTGCACCACTTTTTAAGTTTGTAATTTGCGCCTAATAAAATTAAATAAAAAGGATTTATGTAATATGTACATCGTGTACCTACCTAATTAAATTGTAATTAGCGTTACAATTATTATAATTATTATTAAAACAAAACTCCATGTATATTTTATAAGTAAATTATTGTTTTGTATATACTATTTTTGTAATATAACATATAATTTTTGAAATTAAATACCTAGCTTACTCACCTTTTTTTTTTCTGATTAAAGCTTAATGACGAAACTATGCCTTTTCTGTCAATTCTATTTTATCTGTAGTCTTCATATATTTGTTTAAAAGTTTTCAACAGGTTTGTTCTTATAGTAGATTTTGTTTTTTAAGATGATCACTTATAATTGTAATCAAAGTTTATGTTTGAAAACTTTTCAGTACGTCCAAAAAGTGGTAAATAAAAGTATGTGGGTGATAGAACTTGGAATTGAAACGTGCATTTTATGATTCGCAAGCTTCAGTAGTGAAAGCTAGTGACGTGATGTTCGCAGCCAAATTATTGTTGAAAATTTAGCCTCTTCACTGATATATGTGTTAACTAATTAAACAGCATATTTTTGAAATCGAATATCATTTTAGGAATTGCTGTCATAAAATCATAAATAAAGCAGCCACTGACCTCGTTTGGAGGGATAAATAGCAACCCACTATTCTACATAATATACTAATATATTTTATATTTCTATATTCTATACACTAGCCACTACGTCAAATTACGCGTAACTAGCTATATCCTATATCATATACTGTCGCATTACTATATTTTAATATTTACATATCTACCGACGTAATTGTACTTACAACAGTAAGTTACAAGGCATCGGCCTAAAACCCATCCAAATACAGCGACCCACTGTCTTCTAGGACAGTAGACCACTGGGCCAGTTCACCCCTGGTTTTGGGAATCCAATTTTATATATTTTAGCAGCTTGTTTTGTTTTGTTCTATGATATTGATATACATTGGCTAGATCTAATTCCTGATTTTTTCTATACTATGATTGAGTTAAGTGAAATCTACAACCGAATATTTTAGTATCATCTCAGAATTGTCTCAATGCACAAACACAAATGTATGATATGTTTAAATAAATTTACGTAAGTTGAAATTTTTATTGCCTGGAATTAATGCAAATAAAAGTAGTATAATACGTATAACGATCATTGCATAAGCCATGCAAAGAAAAAAATTGCGTAAATAACTTGGATCAATATTCAAAAGTTCCATCCATGTATTTAATTTCAGATTGGCACAGAACTTTTAAGTTTGTATTTCATGAAAATATTATTATATGACAGTTCAGATCATTAATTAATAGAAATTGCTCATTGAGGTCCGATGTCAAATCTAAATTGTATATATTCTTTTTACAATTCTTCCATTGTTTTTGGTAATGGTGACACCATTTTTCTACGGACGTTATAATTATTTCGTCTAACTAATGATGTATCATCGGTAGTAATGGTATCTAAATTAGATATACTTATTCGTTTACACTTTATTTTATTATATTAAACACGATTTTGGTGATACATTTAATTTACCATCCGATTATTACAATAAAATGGTTTTCAACAAAATATTACTTAGTATTTTAATATGTGCTGTTGCCTGTTCACCTGTAATCGTTATTTAAACAACTGGCACACGCTATTATTTAAGTAGTAACCTAAGTCATATAACACTCCAAACAAGTTAAATAGTAAGAACGTGAGTAATATGCACCAAAAGCAACCAAAAAAAAAAATAAAAAAAATATGTTATTTGCGCCCTCTCCAAAATAATTGTTTTGGTTTTTTGCACTAAATAAAACTAAATAAAAAGGATTTATATAATCTATACATTGTGCACCTAATAAAATTGTTATTAAGCCTTTTCTGTCAATTTTATTTTGTCTGTAGTCTTCATATATTTGTTGAAAAGTTTTCAACAGGTTTTTATTTATAATATAATTTCGTTTTTTAAGATGTTCACTTTTAATTCTAATCAAAGTTTCTGCTATAAATTTTTTCAGTACGTCCAAAAAGTGGTAAAAAGTAGGATGTTGCTGATAGTTCTGGGCAGGGCCGGACCAAATATCCCAAAGTATCCCAAATAGAATTGCGACCCTACTCTCTGAGTATCTGACTATAGGCGTAATCTATATTAAATAATTTATTAAAAATATTGATAATTTGACGATCTTTAACATCGGTAAGACTTTAGGAACAGAAGAATTTGTATCGATACTTTTTTCCAATTGAGTAGATATATTTTCCTAAATATTCATGTTATTATGTTATGATGATAAAAAATTAAAAATACATATTTATTTTGAATGTATGTGTTTTTAGCCAAAGAAACCTACTACTATTAATTAAACACTTGCTTTGCATAGATAATAGGTAGATATGCAATATGGGTATGTCTATTAGTTATTACAAATTATAATACAAAATACCTTAGGTTTAATAAAGCACTAACTAGTTAACAAGTCATCGTTAATATTGTATAATGTATGTACATGTACCAATATCTTTTAAAAGATACAATATACAAACATTTGAAAAAGAAATATTTATAATAATTTAAAAGTATGGTTGGTAAAACTAAAAAGAATTAGCCACTAGGTATAAAATTATTACTATACTATAAATTGTCAATTATTCATTTTGAGTAGAGCAATTCTTTTTTTTTATTTTGTAACAACATTTTCTTGAAACTAAATAGGTAAACCAGTGTCACAGTCCAGATTTCAATAATATTATGATTTCACCATTGTACAAATGTACAATACATAAAATGAATAGTTTTAATAAAAATAAATGTATGTGTTTGAGTTTTAAATGTATTTGAACACACAAAAAAAACTCCAGTGGATTGTATAATCTTGTTTTATTATTAAACAGTAAAAATTGTAAACACTAATTGAATAATTAAATAAATTCTTTTCACTATATAATGAGGTGACAATGGCGATTGACGGTATTATCACCGACGCAACGTTAAATAATTACTGACGACCCGTGCCTGCCTTATACCCGACCCAAGGCGATATAGATAAAGATAATATTAGATATTATTGTACATTGAACAGTATGTGTAATTAATAATACTTACCGATTGTATAAAATATTATTTGATTTGAATGGAACTATTTTGGGTTTTTTGCAGCAGCTTTTAAATCAGCATTTGGTTTCAGTAAAGCTTTTTCTGCGCACCCTTTGACTCGACGATTCAGTTAAGATATTTTAATGAATGTTTTTATAAAAC